TATATTGAGATACTGATATTCAATCATTTCCAAAATTTTTGTCATTAGTATAGGAAATCCTGTCACATTTTATATAACCCTGGCTCTATAAGCAATTAGATTTTTATGAACAATAGCTTAAATGAAAGTTTATTTATTGCTCTTCAAGATGTGTTTAACTATTTTGACCTATGACCTTTGATCTGACCTCTGCATATGACCTTTGCGTTGGTCCCGTTATTTTAATGACTTTAAATTTTTTATAAATTTTAACTAATTGGATAAGAACTGCATTAAATAGACGTTTAAAATATTTTAACCGATTTTGGCTAAGTGTTATAACAAAAAACCTATTAAAGTTTTGCCAGAATAATTTTCACGTGAACTACCTTATATATTAACTAGACCAATTAAAATGATCTTGATTACATTCGTCATGAATAATGATCCTAATGAGTCATAATAATATTCCATAAAAATGATATTTAATAAAACATAATTTTTAAAAAATTATTTAATTTATTTTAACTAATATTCAAAAGTGACACAAATTTCCTGAATTTTTCCACACTATTCACCTATTCATTCATATGCTTCCAAACCTTAGAGTTTTGAAAACATGTCTGTCCGCCACCCCTCCTAAACAGGGACTCCACTCGATTCATATACCCGACACAGACATAGGGAACGGTAGGGGTCAACTCATAATAATAATTTTTAAATCAAACTACTTGTGATTGATTTTATTAAATTTCAATTAGTAAAATAAATTATTATTTATTTTAATTAAGCCTTTTTAGTAAAAATAATTCTCTCTGGCATTCTCTCTCTCTCTCTCTCTCTCACCCACACATAAAATTCAATTAAACAAATATTTAATATACATTACATGATAAATTGATCATTTATTAATAAATATACTCGTAAAGTTAAATACAAATTAAATATTAATAAATAGATAAATTCATTCGCTCAATATAAAAAATTTTGAATTATAAATAACTATGAGGAAAATGCTCCCACCCATAATTAGCGTGTTAACTACAATTAAAAAACAGCCAGCACCATTCACGAACGCTGGATCAACGATTGAACGCACTGGGTAAACAGGGGACACGTTGAAATACTTCCTGCCACCATGGACGTATGCTCTCCAAAAGTAATCCAGAAACTTTTATGGTCGAGCCGGGTGTTATCAAACAGGGTGGTTAACGGCACGGCCATGCAACGGACGATTTCTTTGCCGTTACACTCCTTGGTCTCCCCTATACAGCGACTCAGGTACCTAGTCATCCAATGTTGGAGCGCGAATAATTTGCTCTTATGGGCAATTTCACTGGAGCGAGGATGGTGATTTTTACTGGACTGACGTTTGTGTGCGCCCTCCCATTCCTTCAGGACTTTTTTAAGGAAATCTGGCGACACTTTGTACATGCAGTCCACGATCTGTTTATGGCATCTGTCGACAGGTCTTTGATCATCGTCATGATTGGTTTTACCCTGATGTTGACCAGAGGTGACCACAAATGTCAACACAAGTAACACGAATCCAGGTAGGAGAAGCATTTCTGTGTGAATGAGCTAGATTAGATTACCTATCTGCTAGACAGGTTTTTACCCTAAATAGCTCAAAACTCAAAAAGCCTTAAACCTCACAAGGTCTAACACCAAAAAAAGGCTTAAACTTAAATAACTAACTGACCACTTGACATATTTTTAATTTGATCAATAGAATATTCATGATTTAACCTAACCTACCCTAACCTAAATTAAGTCAAATGATCATTGATCAGTTAGATATTGAAGTTTAGGTCTTTTGGGGTTTAGACCGTTTAGGCGTTTAGGTTTTTTACGAGACCAATAGATCAACTCTGCTTTCATAAGCTGTTGAGTCTCATGAAAGCAGAGTTCATGGATTGGTTTCGTCTAAAAGATTTAACAAACTTTTATAATATAATTTAGTTTATCAATAATTATTACAATTATCTCAGCAAAATATTAGTTGAAATAAAAATATGTATATTAAAAATTAATGCATAACATGGGACAATATGGGAAATTTAATTAAAAAATGATTAAATTTACGTTAATGGTATATTAAAATAATAATTTTCATTGTATATTAACTAGACAAATTAAAATGATCTTGATTACAGAAGTCATGAACCCCATGAGTCTTACAGTATGCCATAAAATTGACATTAAATAGAAATTAATTTTCAAAAAATTAATTAATTTATTTTAACTAATATTCAAAAGTGACACAAATTTCCCGCATTTCTCCACACTATTCACCCATTCATTCATATGCTGCCAAACCTTAGGGTTTTGAAAACATGTCTGTCCGCCACCCCTCTTAAACTGGGACTCCACTCGATTCATATCTCCGACACAGACATAGGGAACGGTAGATGTTTTACTGATAGCCCACTTGCTATGATCCTTATGATAGCCAAACCCGCCCTTCAGTCTCGAGTTCACAAACGATACGCTAATGTCGTCTATATTTTCAACCGTTTTCTTGAGCCTACACTCAGAGGGTAAGGGATGTCCCGCTCCCTGTCTCCACGTCTCGACATATAGACTGGTGTTGAGTACCGGTGCCATGATCTGGGAGTACAGGTGTAGGTGATCGCCCGGTGCTTTGCTAAAACTGGTGAAGTTTACACCACCGGCGCTGGTGATGGTCTGGACATTCATGGGACCGGAACTCCACTTCCTAGCGCTTAATGCAGAGATTTTTGATGATTTACTTTTTAGGTGGGTGCTCACATGTATGGTATACACATTTGGGTGCATATACAGTAATTGCTCAAGGATATTGTCGATTTCAGTGATTTTATAGCTAATACACAGAGCTGTCTGTCCATAGGTCTCACCAGACGCTGGGTATACGTACTTATGGCCCGACTATTAGGTTATAAACGAAAAGTTTTGAAAATTTTATGTTAAACTCAAGGGATGTATACCTCTTGGGCGGCAAACTTCGGGACACTATGTATGAGCCAAAAGCCATGGCTGTCATCGGTGGCTATGACTCCCTTGGCGTGAGCGCCGGTAGATTTTTTGGTGTCGTTAGGCCAGTGGTCGTTGTAATTGATATAACTGATACCCGGGTCTACCTTTTTAGCATATAGTGGGCTTAATGTCTGTCCAAATATTGATGTCTCGTCACT